TTTTGAATATTGATAAATATTTTTATACATTTTATTTTTTGATTGTCTTTTTTGAGTGATATGTAGATTGTGTTATTTTGAATATAGTTTACTCCTCCACTGTGAACAATTAAACAGTGAAGCCAAGTTGAAGGCATTAAAGGGCTTTTAGTTACGTTTTGAGTTTTGTTATATTTCTGATATACCATCGCTGTTACGTGAATCACTGCAGTTGTTAAGTGAATTGCAGCAGTTGTTAAATTAGTAACACAGTTGTTAAGTGAATCTGGTTTCCGCATGAGCGTTGCTTGTCAGAAAGTCGCAACAGGGGATCACATGACCCCGGGACACTGCAACCATCCTGTTCTGTCTCACTTTTCTTCTTTCCCAAAAGATGAAAGAATACAAACTCACACAAACACAGGCAGGCAAGCTGGCTCGGACTTCACAGAGTTAATTCTTTAGAACTGATAATATCCTTGGCATATCCTTGGCCTGCCAAGTCCGAACTGATAACAAATAAAAATCTACTCACAGAAAATTACAAGGCAGTCCACAAAAATCATTCACGAAGAAAATCTGAAGTAAGATTAAACTTTGTCCTGTACAAAGTTCCAGCCGAAAACACACCCACTTTTATCCCCTGTGGGGTGTGGCTCAATGACTCAGCTCACTCTCTGACCCTCCCACGCCTCCTACGTTGCTGCTCACGTTTCTCCTTACGACGCTGCTTTGGATCGAGCCAACACTGTTCCTCTTTACTCCCTGTTAGGGGCTGCTCCGATATGCCTTCCTCCTGATTAATCTCAGGCTGTTCCTCTCGGTTGTCTGATGGAACCTGAGGCATTATTAGGGAGGAAGGTCCTGGGGAGGAAGGCATTCCCAGTCCCTCCTCCTCATCTTCCAGGTCTTCTTCCTCTGACAGCACAGGCTCGGGAATCGGGGCCACAACACATCCTAAATATATGCCAGCTGCCAAGGGTCTGAATTTTGACCAAGTGACCATGGGGAGCCTGCAATGGTCATAAATATGAACCAGCTGCCAAGGTTCTGAATTTGAATCATGTGACCTCAGGGATGCTGCTATGTGCTAGTGGTGGGATTCAAAAAGTTTTACCACATTGGAAAAATGAGAAAATACCAATGCAGGAGGAAGTTATTAAGAAAATAATGGAATGTGCTGAAATGAGTAAATTGACATTTGAAATTAGAGAACAAGAAGACAAGCAATTTTATAAGATTTGGGATCTATTTTATCAATGGTTAGAAAATAAAATAGGGCAATGAAATATGTAGAATTATACAATATAAGGAGAATATAGAATATAAATATAAAGATGCTATTATTATTGGATGGATTTAGGATGATAATATGAATTGTTATAATATAAACCAATTTAAGCATATGGAACATCTTGCATAACGTGAAGGAATAATAGTTTCCTCAAATGAATGATTAACAATGATAATAATGTATTCAGAAATATTTCAGAATATATACAAATAATTGTAAGTGAGGACTATGGAGAAGATGCACAAAAAAATTGTAACCGACCGACACACTGTATGTATACAATTGGAAGATGGCTTTATGTTTTTATGTTTTGTTTGTGTGTGTTTGTCTAAAAATAAAAAATTCTCTAAAAAAAAAAAAGTTTTACCACTGGTCCGGTGGGCATAGCTTGGTGGGCACGCTTTACATGCATGCACACACTTTGTGCGTGCGTGTGCCAAACGCACACTTTGCGCAGGCGCAGAGGCGTTCCAACTCGCCTCCTGCAAGCCTGCACTGTAACCAGTCGCTTCCGCAGCTGCTGTATGGCAATTGCTGTGCCGCGCAAAACAGCTGCGCTTCAAAAGCAAGGAATAAAGGTGAGTATGGGAGCCCAGGTGGTCAGGTGGGCCCAAAAACAGAGCGGCAGAGAGAACTAATTTGGACTCCACTGCTCATCGCCGCTACCGGCTCAGCAGAACCAGGCCGAACCGGTAGAATACCACCACTGGTCATAAGTGCAAAAAAAATGGTCATAGGTCACCTTTTTCAGTGCCGGTGTAAGGTTGAAAATTCATTAAAGGAATGCTTGTAAGTGGAGGACTACCCGTATCCATTTCTTTTCTTGTTTGCTTTATAATCCCGTGCTTTTCTTTTTGGATCCCCTGTGGAGATGTTAGATAAACTGAAGGATCGCTGGCTGCACACGAGCTTGTGGGAGAAGCTTGAGCTGATTAAAACCGTCATCGTGGAACCCAAAGGAGGTGACAAAGCTGATTTTGATGAGCTACTCCAAATATACTCCGATGCCATCAAGTCTCAGAGTGGCAAAGGTAAGTAAAAATGCAGGAAGTGTAAGCCTCGGCCCGAACGAAGGTTGACTGGAACAAGATTCCACCAGAATACAGGTGGTCCTCAACTTACAATCAAAGTTAGAACCGAAATTTCTGTTACTACGCAAGTTGCGCCTGATTTTACAACCTTTTCGCCAGTGTTGTTGAGTGGATCACCACCGTTGTTAAGTAAAACACATGGTAGGTAAGGTGAGGTAAGGTAAGGTAGGACAGGATAGGACAAGAGAAGATAAATTAAGATAAGATAATAAGATGATAAGATAAGATAACCTTTCTTGTCATTTTCTAGGGTGAGCACACTGCCCCACGTTAAAAATGAAATTCTGTTGCCTGCTCTCAAAAGATAGTTTATATCAACCCATATACATATACACATGCTCTAGGACTAGCAGTAGCATTTAGATTTCTATACCGCTTCACAGTGCTCTCTAAGCAGTTTACAGAATCAGCCTATTGCCCCAACAATCTGGGTCCTCAGTTTACCGACCTCAGAAAGATGGAAGGCTAAGTCAACCTTGAGCCGATGACACTCGAACTGCCGGTAGCCAGCAGTCAGCAGAAGTAGCTTGCATTCTAACCACTGCGTCACCACACACACACACACACACACATACACACACATTTTCCTGAAAATACGACCTACCCTGAAAGTAAGTGCTAATTTGATTTTTACACGTGCACCCAAAATAAAGCCTACCTCCAAAATAAGCCCTAATTAAGATCCCGACTACTCCAGAGTGCACGGGTAAAAATTAAGCTAGGGTAGGGATGGCAAGTGGGGTGGAGCTGCCCTATTACTTACCTATTTGGACCTTTGAAGCCAAATTGAAGGAATTAAAGAGACTTCACCTGTTTCTTTTGTGACTTTGTTACTTTTGTATCCCACCCTGGGTCATCACACAACATGCCGCTGTTTTCACTGCCATTGTAACTTCAAATGGTCCTAAATGAATAGTTGTAAATCAAGGACTACCTGTATGATAGACTAGAGTTCCCCAACGTTTCCGGCTTTACAGACTCTTTTCGGGTGGAGATGGTTCCACATGTGCGGCCGGCAAGCGCACCCACGCATGCGGCTCATTCAAGTTTCCATGGCCCAGTTGCAAACCCTTTATGGCCCACAGGTTGGCGAGCCAGTTGTGTTAGACGGTTGTGTTCTTCTGCTTCAGATGGTGCGCTGCTTATTGCTGTGTGCAGAGGCAAAGTCAGCGAAGGCCTGGATTTCTCCGATGACAACGCCCGTGCGGTCCTCACCATTGGGATTCCATTTCCAAACTGGAAGGATCTTCAGGTAGGGGACGCTTGAAGTCACGTGTGGTGTATTTTATCCAAAAGGGAACGGAGCCCTGGAATAAATACATTGTCCAGCGACATCAGTGTTGTATTATTTTGCTTTTTGGAGCAAAAGAGAATGATCTAATACAGGATGTCCATCTGAGATTCAGCGAGTGTTGACTTTGTGATTATTGTGAATAGTGTTATTAGTAAGAATGAGGACAGGTAGTCCTTGACATGAGACCACAACTGAGCTTAAAATTTCTGTTGGTAAGCAAGATAGTCGTTAAGTGAGTTTTGACCCGTTTTGCGACCTTTCTTGCCAAAGTTGTTAAGTGAATCCCTGCACTTGTTAAGATAGTAACATGGGTTGTTAAGTAAATTATCATTACCTTATTATTACCTTTATTGTCAGAGTACGACATATGTACAATGAGATTGTATCTGACGTCCCCACTGAGTTTGCTTGTCAAAAGATCACAACAGAGGAATCCCATGATCCTGGGACACTGCAGTTGCCACACATGCATGCCATTCGCCAAGCCTCTGAATTTTGATTACATGACCACAGGGATGCTGCAACAGTCGAAAGAGTGAACAACGATCATAAGTCACTTTTTTCAGTCTGTTGTAACTTCAAACAATAACTAAATGAAAGGTTGTAAGGACTTACCTATACATGATGTTTATCCAAGATTCTGGAGTGACTATTGTGAATATTCTTAGTAAGAATAAATATAGTTGAACAAATCTTAATTCCCCCGCCCCCCCTGTGCCTTTGATTCAGAACTGAGTTTTCTAGATTATCCTGGTTGACCTGACCATCATTCCTTAGATTAGGGGTCCCCAGCCTTTCTGGGTTGGCGGCCCACGGGGGGGGGGGAGAAGGCGCCTTTACGCACAGATGCTCATAAGCAAACTGGGCCATGCGCGCGAACAGGGCTGCGATGGCATTCGCGCCATGCTCGGGTGACGCTAGCGCCTACACGATGCTAGTGGGGGGGTGCTCTCGCAGCAACGATTGTGTCCACGCAATGCTCATGGCATTGCTATCACCCGCACGACACTGCGACAGTAGCGTGAGTGGGGAGGGGGGGTGTATGCACACACACTGGCCAGCCACTCATGCACCAGTTGGCCAACAGCCCATGACCCAGTAGTGGGCCACGGCCTGCAGGTTGGAGACCCCTGCACTAAACCGCTCCATCCTTGTTAGTTTTTTGTAAAGATTGGATTCATGCAAAGATCTTTAAAGGATGTTGCCAGCCAGGGGTGCTGAAAACTGCCTGCCATTTTGCTAGTTAGACTACCTTTGCAAGGCAGTATAGAATAACAGGATTGGGAGGGACCTTGGTGATCTTCTAGTCCAATCCTCTGCTCAAGCAGGAAACCCTATACCGTTATAGATAAATGGTTGCCCAATCTCTTCTTAAATATGACTTCAGCAACAGAGTGGTCAATGTCTGGAATACTCTACCTGACTCTGTGGTTTTTTATATAATTTTTCTTTTATGTATCCATGTATTCATAACTATGTTTTTACTTATATCTATTATCTTGTAAGCAATTGACAAATAAAAATAAATAAAAATAAATAAAAAAATAAAACCTTCCAGTGATGGAGCACCCACAACTTCTGAAGGCAAGTCGTCCCACTGGTTAATTGTTCTCACTATTAGGAAGTTTCTCATCAGTTCTAGTTTGGCTCTCTCTTTAGTGGTCTTCCATCCACCCGTTACTTCTTGTCCTGAGGTGCTTTGGAGAATAGGTTGAGCACCTATATCTTCTCTCTGTCAGCTGCTTAGATATTGGAATGCAATTATATCATCCCCAGTCCTGCTTTTCACTCGATTACACACACCCAATTCCAGCAACCGTTCTTTGTATGTCTTAACCTCCAGTCCCCATATCATCTTTGTTGCTCTTCTCTGCACTCTTTCTAGAGTCTCAAATATTTTAAGATTGCTCAGGGATCTTAGGCAGTCAAAGCAGAGGTGGGTATTCAGCAGGTTCTGACCAGTTGTGGAGAACCGGTAGCGGAAATTTTGAGTAGTTTGGAGAACTGGCAAATCCCACCTCTGACTGGAGATTTTACAGTATCTTTCCCCTGCCATGCCCACAGAACCGGTAGTAAAAAAAATTGAATCCCACCACAGAGTCAAAGGGACCTTTCAAAGAATTAACAGAGTTGGAAGGGACCGTGGAGGTCTTCTAGACCAACCCCCTGCTCAAGCAGGAAACCCTATACCACTTCAGACAAATGCTTGTCCAATTTCTTCTTAAAAGCCTCCAGTGTTGGAACACCCACAACTTCTGGAGGCAAGTTGTTCCACTGGTTAATTGTTCTCACTGTCAGGAAATTTCTCCTTAGTTCTCTCCTTGATCAGTTTCCACCCATCGCTTCTTGTCCTGCCTTCAGGTGCTTTGGAGAATAGCTTGACTTCCCTCTTCTTTGGGGCAGCCCCTGAGATATCGGAAGACTGCTATCATGTCTCCCCTCGTCCCCCTTCCCATTAAACCAGACATATACCCAGTTCCTGCAACCGTTCTTTGTATGTTTTAGCCTCCAGTCCCCTAATCATCCATTGTTGCTCTTCTCCTCACTCTTTTTCTAGAGTCTCAACATCTTTTTTTATATCGTGGCAAAAAGCCAATCGCCTATCACTTTTACATCCAGATTCTTTTACTCAAGAATCTGATCTCCTCCTAGCCTTTTGCCTGGATCCCTAAAGACCTTTCTCCTAAATAGGCCCTTCGGAGACACCTTTAGATAAAATACTTGTGCGAGGAACAAACTTCTCCTTTTACCTCAGGAAAGATTACTTTTTGGATTCCAGAGGAAGGGGAGGAAACTCCAAAATGATGTGTGTGTGTGTGTGTGTGTGTTTTCCCCCCCTGTGTTCAGCTTGTTCTTAACAAGTAGCCCTGACCTTTAAGTTTTTAGTTTACTGTCAAAGTATGTTGAAGGCTTGAAAAACGAAGCTATCACCAGGGGGGCTTGTAAGGACGGCTGACACTTACCACTTCACCTTAGACGCTGTTCCAGATGCACATTGTTCCTCCGGGGACAACGTTTTATTTTTTATTTCTTCTCCTTCTTCTCCTCCTCCTCCACTTCTGGTTCAGTGAAAGTAAATTTGCTCCGCAGAGGAGAGTTTGGCTCGCATCTGATTTTAATCGAGTGACTTTTTTTGCAGCCTTTCAAAGTGTCCCAGATCCTGACGATGAGTGGTTGGGAACTGATGAGAGGTTTGGGATGCGCTGCGTGTTACAACTTGGGTTGCGGAGGCTTCCGTGTGCCGTGGCTTGACAACCCTGGAAAGGGCTGTCCTGCTTGTAACATTGCTGTATATATCTGTTTCCTTTGCCACTTGGATGAAGGGGCAGCAGGAGGAGAATGGAGTCTTTTAAGATGTGGGATGGATGGATGGATGAGATAAATGAGATAGATAGATAGATATAGATGATAGGTAGGCAGGTAGGTAGGGAGATGATAGAGATGATAGATATATAGATATGATAGATAGATAGATAGA